CACACTAACTACACAAGACAACACATTAACTGCACACTCCAAACACGCTAAACATCACAAATCTCTCACATCTCAAAACTCGCTCTCTCTCTTTGTCTGCTGTCTGTCTGTCTGTCTGTCTGTCTGTCTGTCTCTCTCTCTCGCTGTCACGCCTAAAACTTCCCCCTCTTCCTAAACAACCAAATGTTGCCATAGCATTTTTTTTGATTGGTCGGCACCACCAACACAAAAACAGCCCGTTTGTGTTGGTGGTGCATTTTTCCACCAACACAAACGGGCTGTTTTTGTTTTTTTTATATAATTTTTTTGGTCATAAGCAGAGAGTGCTTGCTAGCACTGTCCGAAACTATTGAGGAAAAAATGCCGCGTATATATTGTTTATCATGACTCTGGTTTTACGAGGCCTATCAACACAATTTAAAAACTGGTCTATTTTATTTTTCCTCAGTCAAACAGCAGCACACATGCGATTGTTTTGCCCCCCTAGCTCCAGGTGTTGTGCCAAAAAGTGATCGTCTGCCAGAAAATGATTGCCCTCCATGGGAGCGCTTAGCTGCTTAAAGCTGTAGCGCCCAGATTACTTATGTAGACAGCTACTTCTGTGCAACTGATATAAGAAGCGGTAAGCTGAAGACAGCTTCAAACCCTTTGAGGATGGAAGACATAACGTGGATATTGTAAGACAAGGTTTCCTCCCTTCCCAAACAAAGGAGCTACACCAGCCATTTAGAGTTTGAATAGTTTTTTTATGTGGGAAGAGGGTTGGAACCATCTCTATTGGGTAAAGTAACCTGGGTAGAATGTTCATTTTCAGAAGAGCAATACGACAGAGCAAAGATAGGGTAAGGACTTCCATCTCTCCAAATCTAATTTGACCTGCTCAAATACTTAGACTTAGATCCTCCCATGCTTTATGTGGCATATGGGGCGGCAAACGAACGCCACCAGGCTCGATCTTGTACCCGGGCTTCAGTGTCTTCCAACGATATATTCAATGTCTTTAGGTCTTGATGGAATGACCTTCGCCAGGTGTTGCGGGGACATCCTCGTGGTCGTTTGACGCCCAGGGGTTGCCAGCGCATCGCTGTTTTTGGAATCTGTGCGTCATCCATGCGGAGGATATGGCCGGCCAGTCGGAGCCTTTTGCGTGCAACGATGTTGTGAAGTTTGACTGTGCCGCTCCTTCGCAGGATCTCCTCGTTGGTGATGTGGTCGGTGTAGCGGATCCTCAGAATCCGGCAGAGACATCGCTGCTGAAAGACGTCAAGCTTGGTGTTGATGCAGGCCAACACCTTCCAAGTTTTGCTGGCATAAATGGCGATTGGGATCACAATTGAATTGAACAAGCGGAGTTTGATCTTGAGGGAGATGGTCAGGTGGACCAGATCTTGTTCATCCTCCAAAATACTGCAGCTGCCTTCCCAGTGCGGCATTTGACATCCACCTCCGCATCGCCGTCGTGGGAAATCACGCTACAGAGGTAGGTGAATTTCTCCACTTCTTCTAGCTGCTGTGTCTTGATGTAGATCCCTCGTCGTGGGTCCTTGGAGCTGACATGCATGATCTTTGACTTTTCTGAGCTGATCCTCAGGCCAATCTTGCCAGCTTCTCTTGCTGTAGCTTCAGCTCGTCTTCTTCAAGTAAGGCGATATCATCAGCGAAATCGAGGTCGCCAAGACTGTCTTGATCAGACCAATGGATGCCAGCGACTGTACGTGCACCGGCTTGCCGCATGACGTAGTCGAGGCCAACGAGAAAAAGTAGAGGTGACAGGATGCAGCCCTGCCTGACGCCGGTGGTAATTTCGAAGAAGTCGGTGTGGCCATTTCCGGTCCAAACGCAACAGCACGATCGCAAGTACAGGTCCCTGAAGATGTGAATGAAGATGGTAGGGACACCGTACAAGCAGAGGATACGCCAAAGATTCGATGATGTTTCTTAAGACGAAACTAGAAAATTGACCTGCTCAAATAGGGGGGTAAAATTGCTTATACATCTGGTCAAAATGCGGGCATGACCCTAATTCCCAGATACATAAAGCCCTGTGGGGACCAAGTGAAGGGAAACGGAGAAGGGGCCCGTGGATTTTGTTTTAGACTGCCCAGTGGCATCACTTCTGATTTATTGAAATTAATTTTATAGCCTGAGATCTCATTAAACCTATTAATAGTTTCAACCAGAGAGGGGATTGATGTTTCCGGCCGAACACAACAAGTACATCATCAGTATACAAAGTTATCTTATGCTGTCTTTGTCCTATGGATAAACCATGTATGTCTGCCTGAGCTTGTACCGCTTCTGCCAGTGGCTCTATGGCTAAGGCAAAGAGCAGAGGGGAGAGGGGACAGCCTGGTTCCCTTCAGTATCTGGAAGTTGGAGGACCGCACCCCGTTTGTGAGAACTGTAGAGCAATGATTGTTATAAATTAACTTAATCCAGTTTATAAAATTTCCAATGAAACCAAATTGGTGTAGTGTAAAAAACAGGTAAGACCATTCAACACAGTCAAAAGGCTTCTCGGCCTCAAGGGAAATCACCGTACCAGGCAGAGACTTTTGTTGGAAGAACTGGATCATATTCAACAACCTACGCATGTTATTATAAGAGTTGTGCCCTTTAATTAAACCCGTTTGGTCCTCGTTAATTAGAAAGGGGAGTAAAAGTTCTGGACATTTCGCTAATATCTTGGAGAGGATTTTCAGATCCACATTCAACAAAGAGATTGGCCTGTAGGAGGCACAATCTTCAGGTAGCTTACCCTTTTTAAGTATAAGGGATATATTGGCTTCCCTAAAAGAGAATTGGGCAAGAGACCCTTTTAAAGGAGTCATTGTACATGTTCAACAGCGGGCCAGCTAAAATTTCTCTGAATTCTTTATAAAACCCAGCACATCTTTGCTATATATATATATGAAGAAGAATTTAGAGGTGGCCCTTGTTTATTATTTCATCCACTTTTTGAAATGTGCCCATATTAGTGAAAGCAAAACAGCCCCAGAGCATGATGCTACAACCCCACTGGTACAGTGTTTTTAGGTTTAGAAGCCTCAACTGTAGACATTTGGCTTGTTCATGTGGGCAGCTGCAAATTTCAGTCAAGCCTTGAAGGTGTTGATTTTGAAGCAGGGGCTTCTTTCCTGGTTGGCTGTCTGTATGTACACTTTTGAGCCTGTGAGGATTAGATAAAATCCTAAATAAATTCACGCTTATCCACCCAACTCTTGTTTTTTAAAGTTATTAATCTTCCCACCCTGGAAAAAAATCATTAAAAGTCCAGAATTATCATGATGTTCATGCTATATATAATCTTCTGACCACAACTGTGTACAATTGGCATTTAATTAGTAGAATACATTGTACTGCAGTCTGCTGCTAGCCTATTTTACCCAACCCTAATGACAACCATTTTGCACAACTCTGTTTGTCACAGTACCTTAACCCTTTCAGTTCTGGAGGTCTTTGTAGCACTGCCAGGTACTAATTTCCTTTTTTTCTTGTTCCATAAAACGTTGGGTTGCAGGTTAATACTTTTAAGAAACAGTTTAAAAAGTGTCAGTGTTTACTAACTCATTTATTGTCTTTTTCCGTTCTGTCTCTGGCCCAGCCATAAACCAAGGAGAACTTCTGTATTTGTAAATTGACTTTAGAAGCCAGGGTCTTTCGCTTTTACCATAAAGATTTGACACTTTTATGTTTGGGAAACGTTAAAAAAAAAGTTGAAAAATCCACATAATTAACTGCTACAAATAAGAGATACAAGTAAATAAAGATTTTTTAAAAAGATAAAAACCTAATGTCAAAATTACGGTTTCCATTCTAGTTGATATACTTTTTCCCTCAAATATAAGGTGACTAGTGTGCGTCTATAAGAACCACCGACCAACCCAAGCGCGCACGCACACACGCGCGCACACTGACCCTGTTGTGCTGCCGTGGCTGCTCTCTGTTGAACCAACAGATGTGGGCGGGGTTTTCCATATAATTCAGCCAATCACGATCACCCACGACCGGTCGGTTACGTATGCTGGTCTACAGTGGTTGGGAAAAAGAGAAGAAATGTAGCCATCCGCCAACACATGGAATTGTAGCGAAATAAGGGGAGAACTGGTTAAAAAAGTGACAGCTGAAGTCTGCGGGACGTGTCCAGAGAGAGACAACTTTAACCATGGTTTCCATCGACCATGTGGCTCACAAAATACTGACGTACTTCCCATATGTTCTTGTTTTGATTGATATTAGGTTTCAAGGTAAGACGTTTGCTAGGTGTACTTTACATTTATAGCTAGTGAATGTTACCACTAACTTGAACTCGGGTTAAAGTTCAGACAACTTTATTACATCGGTAATGTCACTGACAGCATTAGCTTGTGAAATCGCTAATATTATTAGCTGACGTTAAGCTAGCTAGTCACGGACTGGGTCAATTTTATTACTTAAAGCTAGCTGGTTTGAGCCTAAAGAATAAAAGATAAAACTGCTTCTTTGATTATGCTTGCTCGTGAACGTCTTTAAGCTTGTAAGAAACCTAGGTACATGTGAAAGTCTTTACCAATTACTGTGGGGAAAGCTGTTGCCGTTGCTCTTGTTATTGATGTGATTTACATTTTTGGGCGGGTCATTTACAGGAATATTTAAATAAAATCTGATTATTGCATTACTTGAATGAGTAAAAAATATGCTCAGTGTTGTTTTGTTGCACTATGATTTGTTCTATTTGTTTTTTAAGGAGGGAAATGTGGCAAGGATGGGAGTGTGGACAATCACATGGAGATGGGGAAGAAACTTCTTGCTGCTGGCCAGCTAGCTGATGCCCTCTCTCATTTCCATGCAGCTGTGGGTGAGTGTCAGAGACATGCTAACAACACCAAAAGAATGCCTTGGATTTTCCCAAAAGGTTTCTTCTAAAGTGACAGTTTCATTGGCATTTTACAGATAGAGATCCCCAAAACTACATGGCATACTACAAAAGAGCTACAGTGTTTTTAGCAATGGGGAAGTCAAAATCAGCATTGCCTGATTTAAGTAGAGTCATTGAACTCAAACCGGACTTCACATCTGTAAGTTGTTGTCTTTACTGTTTGTCTAATGTGTATTTCTTCAGAAATGTTTTTTAACAGATGGTCACTTAAAATGTAAATTTGACAGAAAATAGAATTTCAAAGCAATACTTCGTGTCATACTAACCGTTAAGGCAGAACTCTGTGATAAATCTATGCAAATAATTAGATAAAGCATGCAAACATATGGCAACATTATCTTTTTATTTCGGCTGCGGGCCCAGCCGTGCTGGGAAATCAGTCTGTTCTGGAAGCTGTGTTGATAACGCTTTATTTTATATGCAAAACAAATTCTTGATGTGTCTCACTCAACAGGCACGGCTTCAGAGAGGAAATCTTCTTCTGAAGCAGGGAAAGCTAGATGAAGCGGAGAGTGACTTCAAGAAGGTGGTAAGTAAAGCAATACCCCCTTTTAAAGCAAAACTATGCTGGGGCAGACACTTGTGAGAGAAGCAACAGTTCACCAGGAGGTGTCAGTGTTGATCTATAGCCATAGTAATGTTGCAGTAGTCTTTTTTTCAGAATGATAAATATAAGTACAAAAATGTGTATTCATGGTTGTCTATACAGTGTTCTCCTTGTGGTGGATTTCAAGATAACAGATTAAAAAGCACTGTGAGGGGTGTGTTTGAAGAGATAAATGCCGCTGAATGAAACTTAATTTTCCTTTACAGAACATAGAACATGAGCTAGTATTGTAGTAGTAGTAGTATTATAGTATTGTATAACACTTATAACACTACAGTGAGGAACAACAGTGTGGGATTTTTGGATAATGACAGGGTAAATGCACTTTACAAAACACAAGGTTCTTTGCAGTGAAACACCAGGGAAGTTGAAAGCCTTAAGAGAACAGGGAAGGGGGGTCATGTATATTTGAGTTTACTTACTAGATGTAAATAATGGGGAACGCTCATTTGAGCATTCTCGCACCATTTTAGAGGCTTGAATTTGTAAATGCATGTCCAATTAGAATCACATACTGCCACCTAAAATCATACAGTAAATGGCCTTGCCATGTCTGTGAATAAGTCTTAGGTTCCAATCAGGTTGTACAATATGAAGAATAATAGGATCAGATGGATGATATTAAAACATCCATCTTTTTCATATTACACTCATTTTATACATGGATATGGTTTGGTTATGAAAAGTCTGACACGGAGCACAGAACTGGTCCCCAGCACAGACACAACAAACCTTTTCTAGCAGAGTATAGAAAGAGTTTACGAGAAGCAAAAAAGAGCCCCCAGGTGCTCAAAACAAACCTTACACTCAAAGGTTAGAACAGGCTTTTCCCTGCAGTGTGCCATGTAATAAAGACAAGTCAAAGTCAAAACACTCGACTGCAGGTACACGACACCCAGCTATAAACACTTCACACAAGTCGAGTTGCCTGAGATTCACAGAATTTACAGAAAATGCACTATTTTGCGATTATATATCATTATCAGGATGAGAAATGTCTTCGGATAAGAAATTTTGGTCATATCGCACAGCCCTAAGTTCCAGGGACTTGGATGAACAGTTCACATGGTGTCACTTTGACCTTAAAGTATGCAGGCCAAAGGCGTGTTTTTGGTCACCTTCCCTGAAACCACCACCAGCAAGCTCTGAACTTCAAGTTGAAGCTTAATGATTAGTCCCATAATCATTCTTATGTTCTTATGTATGCTACACTGAATGATCACAGCCTTGGAATACTTTTAATAGTCTATTTCTGGAATTGCCTAAAGTATGGAAAAGTATTTAATTTTAAGCTGAGATTCATCCTCCATCAAGAGTGCAAAGAGTTCTTTTGCCTCCAGGGGGAAAGATTACATCTGAGCTTCTGCAGTCTATTTTTTTATTTATTTTTTTGTGGACTTCATTTTGCTGGTATACTGTTGAGGGAACAGGCCAGAGGTGCAGGCTGTTCTGCTGCTTCAGCAGTCCACAACATTGGCCTGGTGTAATGCGTCACATTTATGCTCTTCCCTTAGCTGAGCTAGCAAGAACCATTTAAAGAGTAGATAGGTCTATTTGTAGGAGTTGTGCCATTAGCTGAGATGGCTCTTGTGAGTATGATGACCTCTACAACGAGATTCATTATAACGTAATCTGTGCAGGGACTGGCAAGCACTGCACTGATAAGTACTATTTTCAGGAGGCAGAAGATGGCACAGAAATCTCAAATTGGAATCCATCTATGAGAGATGGAATCACATTTTCTTTAGCTACATTAGTACTTAGTGTAATGCCTTGAAATCTTCTAGCTGAAGTCCAACCCCAGCGACAAAGAAGAGAAGGAGGCCCACAGCCAGCTGACAAAATCAGATGAAATTCAGCGCCTGGTGGCTCAGTCACGCCGGAGCTTCGACGACAAGGATTATGTGACAGCTGCTGCACAGCTTGACACCGTCATCGAGGTGAGAGACATTCCTTGCCAGTATTGACTGATTTTCCCACAAACATAGGATTTTCTGTATTATCATTGATACAGAGAGTACAGAGCATTTGCGTATCACCTGAAGTCTGTAAGCGTTATTGTCCGACTGTTGCAGACGTGCATTTGGGATGTGACCTCTCGTGAGATGCGAGCAGAGTGTTTCATTCAGATGGGAGAGATGGGGAAAGCTATCAGCGACCTTAAAGCTGCATCCAAGTTAAAGAATGACAATACCCAGGCTTTCTACAAGCTGAGCACCATCTACTATAATCTTGGAGACCATGAGATGTCCCTCAGGTAAGGACTCACTTGCAGACTGTTTTCTTTCAAGAAGCTTCCTGCTGCTGTTCACACTGTGGCAATGCCACAATAAGGCAGCGTGTCACTATGGTTGATACTCTACTAATCACAAAGCTTTTATTCTAAATTTAAAAAAATAGCAGGAACATTTCTGATAATGATTTAATCTTAGTTATTTTTTCTTAAGAAATATATTGGATTTACACTTCATAGGAGTGCTGTATAGTGGGTAGCTCATTCATAGACTGTGCCTCATAAGAATAAAAAAAGGTAAACTGGATTTTAAATTTTGCTATTATCTTAAAAGAGTTGTCTTTTTGTACAGCCATGCACTTTTGCCCACTCTCCGGAAGTCTAAATTTCACCACTTTCAGTAATATGCATGAGTGAAGTGTGCTAGATTTCCTCCTCTGTGTCAGAAAAGGCAACACTTTAGCTTGAATGTAAGTTTTGAGGAGGAAATGGAGTCAAGAGGTCAAAATAGCTGAGTAGTACTGCAACAGTTTATGTGGCCCAAAAAAACCCCAGAACTTGTGCTTATTTAAGGTGCTGTGAGTGGGCGCACAGTGAAGGCTCTAATGTTGAAGTCGACTGTCTGCAGAAGTTTGCATTCAGTGGTAAAATTGCAAAACAAGAAGTGAACCAAACATAGTGGTACAGAGAGCAGCGTATGGCTTCACAAAGGCAAAGCCTTCATGGATTTCAGAACACAACTGAAATTAATATTGAAAATTTTTGTGTAGATACTTTTATATTTTATAAAATAGCATCTTTCTATTCTGATGAACGTCATGACGAATGCATTTCCACCCTCAACATTACAAATGTGTGTATGATGATGATGATGTGGACTGCTGTTTCAGTGACTGGCCTTCTCATTGCTATCTCTGTCAACTTTATTATTATTATCATCATCATCATCATTAGAAAGACTGTAGCCATAGATGACATAAGTAAGTTACTAACAGTGTAGGGACTAATGCATTATTAAGTAACGCGTTACAGTAACTACGTTATTATTGTGGTAACAAGCACGGTAACTAGTTATTATGCCAAAACCAGGAACACGTTAATCGTTACTGGGATTTAGATAGGCTCGTTATTGGTTACTTCGTGTGGTGGCTATCACAGAGCTTCCACAGATTCAGTAACATTAGCAAGTGGTGGAGGCCAGCAGGTGGATGAGGGAAAGGGCAGGCAAAAGGAGAGACCCGAAGCGGCCGCCGGTCCGAGTGTCAGGTGAACTGAACTTCAGATAAGAAGTTATAACCTGCAGTCTATCTGAGTCAGATAGAAACCAAGTTTAGGTGCAGTTTATTTTCGTTATGCTGACTTTTTCGTACTGGGTACTAGCTAGCATGACGGAGTTTCTATACAGCTGGGTGGGTGCTATGAAGTTACTGATGTTGAACTTTATTTTGTTCATAAGGTTAGTTATTAGAGTTGCCAACCGTCCCCTAAAAAACGGAATCGTCTCGTATTCAGAGAAAATATTACGCGTTTCGTATTGAGGTGAAAAGGAACGCAGTTTGTCCCGGACTTCAGCTACAATGGAAAAAGACACAAAGCTGGAGTTATTCTGCGTCTTTGATGCACAGTTGCCTCTTCT